ATAGAGTGCGGCTGACACGAAACGATTTTAGCCTGTTCTCTTTCTAGCTGAATAACTCAAAGAGTTTTTCATTGATTCTTGCAAAAAATGGTGTCAAGATGGCTAAACGTTTTAGTGGTTTTTTTTTAAGATATTAAACATTTTGCGCGATGGACAATTATGCAGTAACACGATTTGGGCAAATTTTCTGTTACACGTGATATGTATATATTCCACCTCTTTAGTCCCATAGACTCCACTGAGAAATATACACGTCTCAGTAATAGAAGACGTTCTACTGTGATTTCCAATGCAAATAAAGTTTTACGGAATGAAGTTATAAGCCTCATGTCCAACCGATTTTTGTTTCTGGTTTTTCGCTTACAGAACACAAGTGATATCCAATTTAATTAGTGATCAGGCTTTGTATTGGTTAACTTTGGTGATCAAACGAAAACCGGTGATTCAGTGTGATTTGACTATTACAAGGCTTACTACACAATCTCTCCAGTTATGGAATCACCGGAAGTGTCTTCTCGATCATAAAAAATCCTTTCTAACAGTAAGGTCAGTTATCAATGGTCAGTTCCCCGGAGCACAAGAGGTCAACGCAGGCGTCTCCAGGGTTCATTCTTCGTACAAATCCTATTTTTGATCTACATAAATGATCTGCCAAAGAATATACTTAGATCATTTATAAACATCTATGCTGATGATATGACTATATGCGGGTGCACTGCTAAAACTATCGATGGTCAGAGGTTGTCGACTAACATCTCTTCCGATTTCGCACAAACTACCCAGTAGGGTAAAAACTGGCTGGTTACAATCAATACTACGAAAACCAATCTAGTTACATTCCATCACCGCCGATCTGACCACGAAGTACCACCAATCAGGATGAACGGAGGTTCTCTCGGGGAAGCACCGTACCTTAAAAGACTACTGGACCTCAAACTCACACATGACTTCAAGTGGAACTCGTACATACGATACATTGCTAAGGTTGCAGGTAAAATGGTTGGCTATCTGTACCGCTCCAGTAAGTACCTGACTACTCTTGATATCCTCTATCTTTACAAAACCAGATCAGGCCAAAAATGTAGTACTGTTGTCATATATAGACGGGAGCTGCCCAGTATGGACAGAGTTCAAAAGCGTCTCCGGGCCGTTGTGGGTGACGAATTATTCTCCACCCTTCAATCTCTCTCACATAAGCGGGATGTGGCAAGCCTCTAGCTGTTCTACCGCTACTTCCACGGACGAACTATATTCCCTGGTCCCACCGAGACAAACCTCCTCAGTAAGAACACGCCATGCTAATTAGTAGCAACCCCACCCACATTCCCCCCGTATTCCATCGATGAGAAGTAAGTTCCACTTGAACAGCTTCTTCCCTCAAACCACTGCCATCTGGAACTGACTCCCAACTAGATGTTAACCCGATCACTACAATTTTAACCTGTTCAAGGGTAGGGTTAACAGTTATCTTCCAATCCTATACACACAAATGTACTCAACACGTAATCATCTACATCGTGTGGCTCCCGAGCCTTGTAAGAAGGTTGAATAACGCCGTAATATATATGTATATATATATGATATTTAATTAATTCATCGAGTCTGATAGAAACCTCTACAGAATGCAGGAAGCACTGGACGGCCGTTTCGTCCTATATTTGGGACTCATCAGCATTGCGCATCCACTACCGAGTATCGAACCCTGACAAGTTGGGTTGTCAAGCGAACACCATACCAACTGTTCCAAATGGGCCTCAGTCTGATTTGGAATCTCTTCGTCACCGAGGCCCATTTGGAACAGTTGGTATGGTGTTCGCTTGACAACGCAACTTGTCAGGGTTCGATACTGGTAGTGGATGCGCACTGCTGATGAGTCCCAAATATAGGACGAAACGGCTGTCCAGTGCTTCCAGCAGAGGTTTCTATCAGACTCGATGAATTAATTAAATATCATTATCAAATCCTCCTACTAATTACTATCTGTATATATATATATATATATATATATATATATATGATATAATATAAATATATATATATATGTGTGTGTGTAATATATATATATATTACACACACACACATATATATATATATATATATATATATATATATACATTATTTAATATATGTATATATATATATATATCATATATACATTGGATTATATATGTATATATTATATCATATATACATTGGATTATATATGTATATATTATATCATATATACATTGGATTATATATATCATATTATTATTATTATTATTATATATGAAAAATATAGTTTTAAGGTATGCTATATTTATGGGTTAAAGTGGTCAATATCAGGGATAGAACGTATATAAATATAAAAGTGCACAATTAGGTCAACACCCAATAGTCCATGACGATTGCTTTTTAGCATGAAACACTCACGCCGCTGGATTCTGACCTCAATGACTACATATATTAAAAAAGGCAATCCTTTGTACAAACGCCGATTGTCTTGAGAAAAATGCTTTTACTCGTAATCAACGCGACCAAGCAAATGACATGAAATAGTTGTGAATGGAATTCAACGTAAAGATAACTAGTATGGTGGGGATCGTGCTCATCTTGAAATTTTCCTTTAAATGTTTAGTAAGTAAAAGAAATTAATCAAATAGTTTACTATAAATCACATGTCATTTTGTCGATCCTACCCTTGGTGGGACGTTAGTAGTTTGTATATGTAATTATCTTCATGTGTGTTAAGTCTTAATTATCTTCATATCGGGGTATTCTGGATATTTTTTTTTCAAAATATGTACCTTAAATGTTATTATCATTATTAACTGAGAATATATTAGACTAATAAATAAACGCTGCTCTGGGCGATACGCTAAGGGGTTTTGATAAAAGAAGTGCATTAGATTTGACCAAATTAGAAATACACTTATAATCATGATTATTATTATTAAAAATGGCTTCGAGCTCCTATAAACTGATGGTCTTAGTGATGACCATCTTTCTCCGAATTTTTTGAACTGACTCTACTGAATTCCAATGAAATACTAAATAACAGAAACCACATCAATCGAGGGCAATGTGTAACAGCAACAACTAAAATGGATAGTAACTTGAATAATGACAAACAAGATGTAGTGATTCCACACTACTTCAAGTAAAAGGTTAGGAAGGAACCCCACTTCAATACTGGAAAGAGCGATAACAACTACCGAATTTGTTTTAAGAGAAAGATTTTATGAAATTCAAACGAAGGTACCACTGGCTTCTCGGTCAATGTATGCCGGATGTTTCCTCATGAGGAAACAGCTAATATTACCATTACCTTTACCATTACTAATGTAAGGATTCTACCATAGATAACACACACACACACACACATATATATATATATATATATATATATATATATATATATATATATATAATTCGAAGGTTTGAATAAGCAGCTATAAATTCTGACATAAAGTGCTCCATGCCATAGAAATGACAGAGCATTTGAATATAAGTTCAATAACCAGGTAGGCAATGACTGGCCACTATAAGTTTCATGTGCTTCCACATAATCTTCAGGTAGCCAGTAATATTTACCGGCCTCCTCACGAGGTAAGATGTGGCACAAGGATGAATTTAATGTGTGGGAATCTGAGTCCGTAGGCTCGAACAAAAATTCCCCATAGACCCCGCATAAACGGGGTCGGGTCTGTCTACCTCCCCGGACGAGACTATGCACTTCGACATAGCCTCGTCCAGGTCCTTCTCTGCCCAAAGAGCGGAGCACGTGGCCAGCTCCAGCTACCTAACTACCTGATCTTCAGGTAAGCAGTAATAAGATTATTACTTTATATACCACCGGATGAGTACAATTTGACAAGTAAACCAAACTCGCACACAGGGGACAGAGCCAAGATCCAAATGGCAAAAAAAAAAAAAAGAAATTCAATCTGGAAAGGTTTGCCAGTATAACAAAAAGCGTTCAATAACAAGAGGAACTGGTGTCAAGGTACAGGAGCTAAAGCATTAATTTAAAAAGTGCTCAACTGGACCAGACAACCAAATTCAGATGAGGGCATATATGATCCCAAGGTTTAAATAAGCAGCTGTAAGTAGAGTCTGTCCAAAATTAGCTTTCTAGCATAAAAGTGCTCCATGCCATAAAAACGACAGCACACACACACACACACACACACACACACACACACACACACACACACACACACACACATATATATATATATATATGCTCTGTCATTTTTATGGCATGGAGCACTTAATATCTATATATATATATATATATATGTGTGTGTGTGTGTATATATATATATATATATATATATATATATATATATATATATATATATATATACAGAAGTTAATGGACACCCTTTGGACTTCTGTACTTATTTTGTATCTATATCGTTCGTTTGGAAATATCTGTGAATCAATGGAATAATTCCGTTAAAAAGAGTGAATATATATCGTCATTTCCATATATGAGCATCTATATATATATATATATATATATATATATATATATATATAATGTGTGTGTGTTTAAGGGCGAACGAACGGGTGTACGTGTGTATGATCGCTTCTTTTCTTTCTATGTCTGTGTGTATATTCCACCATTCGTGTATTGTGCAAGCACGTAAGCCGGGCTTGTTTGTTCGTTATCTGCAGACATTCTACCATTTTTCCCTGGTTATTTTTATCTTTCTTGATTCGAAACGAACCAAACAAACATCTGAGACTGAAAGGATTGGTCGGCGTTTCGTTGTCATATTTCATCTTGATTCTTCGCTTCCAGAAACGCAGCGTCTGTTCTAGCCACGCTCAAAAATATCGCCTAATTACGCAGATGCCAACTCTCGGGCAACTATCAACATGGCAGCCAGTGTAGAAGACAATTTCCTGCTCGTCGACCAGTATAATAACTTTCTTTTTTTCCTCTCTTGCTTTATTTCATTTTCTTTATTTTCTTTTCTTCGCCAAGCATTTTTTCTTTACTTTCTCCCATAATGCTTCATCAATTTTCTTTTTCTCTATCTATATTTTACTTTATTCTGACTCTTCTTTTGATTTATCTATTACTTTTTTATTCGTTCTCTTTGTTTTCTTTCTTCTTTTCTTCCTTTATATTTTCTTTTTTTTATTTTCCTTTCCTTTTTTCGTATCATTCTTTTTCACTTCGTAAACTTCTTCGTTCGTTCCTTTTTTTCTACATTTATCTATCTCTTTGTTCTTTCGTTTTCCTATTTTCCGTCGTCCATTTTCTTTTTTGTTTTTGCGTTTATTGTCGTTTCTCTTTTTTAAATTTTAAAATTTTAAATTCTTTCTTTTTCTCACATTTTACCTTTACTGCTTTTTTTCTTTGATTTTCTTTTTTCTTTGATTTTCTTTTTTCTTTCTTTCTTTCTTTCTTTCTTTCTTTTCTATTTTATTCCCCTAAACTTTTCTTTTACTCTGTCTAACAATGTCTTTCTTATTTTCCTTGGCATTCTCTTTTTTCTTTTATTTTCCCATTATTTACTTATTTATTAAGATTTTTTCTTATTTTTCTTTTTCTTTTTCCATTAAATTTAATTATTCTTTCCAGGTACTCTCTTCTTTTCTTTTTTTCTCTTTTTATTTTTTACCCACTTTTTCTTTCTATTTTCGACATCCATTTTTCATTCTTCGTATCTTTCTTTTTCTATTCTTTTGATTTCTCTTTCTTTATTGCTGTTCTCTTTTCTACTTTTATTTTTTTTACGTTTCCTTCATTTTCTTTTTTTTAATTTACTTCCTTTTTTTTCATTTGTTGCCGCTTTCTTCCTTTTTTTTCCTTTCCTCGTCTCTCACTCTTATTACTTTTCTTTCTTTCTATTCATATTTATTTATTTTCATAATTTTTTGCTCCTTCTTATTCTTCCTCTCTTTTTAATTCTTTTTACTGTATTAGTCTTTATTTTTTGTTTCATCCAAAATTTTTCCTTGTTTTTTTTCGTTCTTTTCCTTTTTATCATTTTTTTCGATTTTATTCATTCAATTTCTTTTCTTAGTTTTTCTTTCAAACTTTTAGTTTTATCCTTTTTTTTCTCATTATCTTCAAAGGTCTTCACTTTCTTTACATCTTTCCAGTGTTTTCTTTCTTTACGTTTACCCAATTTTGTATTTATATTTCACTTTTCTCTTTCTCTTTTACTGTCCCGCTTTTTTATGTTGCTATTTGCTTACTTTTTTCTTTTATCCTTGCTTTCAATTTTTATTTATTTCTGTTCTTAGCGCGTTTATTTACGTCACTCTTCCTCTCTCTCTCTTCCTCTCTCTCTCTCTCTCTGTCTCTCGAGGTTAATTGTCAGTAATTCTCGCTTTTTCTCGTTCAATCCCCAGATAATTTCTCTGTGTAGATTTTCTACCGCAGACTGCAGCCTTTTATTTCGCAGTTTACACCATCGGTAAACGTACTTTTACTGTTCGTCTGCTGCAAACCCAATTACAAAATTTGCTTTCATCTCCCAAGCTTTGTTTATCCCTTTTAATTATAACGATTCTGCCAATCTGTCCGCTGTACCCATTATTCTTTTTTTATCATTCATTTTCTTTCGCTTCCATTTTATTCATATTACCTTCTTTTTTATGTAATCCATAATATAGAGCTTTATTATATGCTGTAAAACATTCGTTAACGCTTATGATTAAATATAGCACAGAAAATATTAATACCTAGTCGTTTTTGTCGGTATATATAAGACGCGCTTTCCCCTACAAAAACAGGTAAAAATGACCCTGCGTCTTATATATGAATATGTGGCATCTGTTGACAATTTTATCTCCAACAATCGCTAACGATGCATGCAAATTTACTTGGTTCGACGCAGTACTATTATTTGGCTATACGCTATTATTATTATTAGACGAAATGAAGGATGTAATTTGCAATACTTCTGAAAGAACGTGAATCAAGAAAAGAAATAGAAAAGAAAAGATAGGGTGTTTAACAATATTTCAACAGTATGTTTGTCTTCTTCAACTTGTGTTTAAAAGAACGCATAAAAGTTTTAAAAAAATAAAAACATGCCTTTGTACAAACGTTGTCTTGAGAAAACCCGTTGTTGTGGTAACCAACGCCGCAAAGTGAGTGAACACACAGTTTGCCTGAAGGTAATTCAACTGAAACGTGAGTAACATGATGCGTGCTCCTCTTAAAATTTTCTATCAGTTGGTGAGTTAGTAAGGGCAATTAATCAAATAGTTTGTTATACATCTTATGGAAGTCTGTCATTTTGTTCATTTTGCGGCAGGGTGACACGTTAGTAGTTTGCATATGTATTATCCTTGTGCTTTTTAAGGGTTGAAAGGTCGAAGGATTCCAGATATTTTTTCAGAATATGTACCTTAATTATTCTCTCTCTCTTTCTCCCTGTACCTCTCTCTCTCTCTCTCTCTCTCTCTCTCTCTCTCTCTCTCTCTCTTTTATGCATGGTTTTATATTTTTAAACTGGCAATCTTGCATTATGGTTGTTTTTCATCAAGTCTTAAGACCTAAAAAATGTAGCGCAATTAGCAGAACATTTGCAGAACCAAAAAATACAGACTTCTGAAGTTATAGGATACTAGGCTTTATTCCGATTTTCTTAATGTAGGATTTTAAATTCGGCAGTATAGCCCCCAACACCCGAATGATAACCAATTATTATTATTATTATTATTATTATTATTATTTCTTTTGGTATCTGGCGTTTACACATTTCTTTCCGGGTCCCGCCCTAGGACCTAAGGTTAGAAATGGTATCATGACACTTTCCACTGAAAAAAAAATTACATAGATAAAGCCCTTCGTAAAGTGTGGGCTGTACATGTCAGAACAATTTTTTGTATCTCTTTGAGGCATGGACTTCCAGAAATCCCTTTAATTAGTCTACTGGCATCTTTTCCAACCAATCCTAGGGCTCCAACTACAACAGGGATTGTTGATGCTCCCATGTGCCACTTTTTTTAGATTTCTATTTCAAAGTCCTTGTATTTTGAAAGCCTCTTCTTCAAAGATACATTGCAGTCAGCAGGGACTGCCATATCAATAAGGAGGCACGTTTTTTGTTTGTGATCTTTAATAACAATGTCTGGGCGGTTGGCTTTGATTGTTCTCTCAGTGTGTATTGTGTAGTCCCATAGAATTGTAACAGGTCCTATCTCCGTAACCGGGTCTGGGTGGTGTTCATACCAGTTTCTTTCAGTTTCCTTCCCGTAGAAGTTGCAATTTTCCTGTGCAGATATTGGCCCACTTTGTCATGCCGGGTTTTATATTCAGTGGGTGCCAATATCGTGCAACCTAATACAAGATGATCAATCGTTTCTGGATATTTATCACAGAATCTGCATTTTGGCTGACACAATATTTTAGTATATGTGCTTGATAATTCCTAGTTAACAAGCATTGGTCCTGTGCAGCAAGGATAAAACCTTCAGTTTCACCTTTCAATCCTGCACTACGTAGCCACTGATTATTATTATTATTATTATTATTATTATTATTATTTCCTTTGATTTCTGTTGTATAAACATTTCCTTCCAGGTCCCAATCAGAAACCTAAGGTCAGAAATGACATTTTCCATTGATCATTTTTGTAAAAAAAAAAAAAAAAAAAAACTAGGATCACACACATTTTACATAGATAAATCACTTCGTAATGTGTGAGCTATACTTGTGAGTACAATTTTTTTTTTGTATTTCTTTAAAGCATGGGCTTCCAAGAATAACTTTAATGAGTCTGTCGGAACCAGTTGCAGTCATTCCTAGAACTGGAATTCTTGACGTCCTCAAGTACAAAATCTTTATGATTTCCACTTCAAGATCCTTGTATTTTTGGTAGTTTTTTGACGATATTCAAATATACATTACAATCTGAAAAAAAATGTCATGTCAATAAGAAAGCACGTTCTGTTTTTGTGGGCTTTGATCACGGTGTCTGGACGATTAGCTTTGATTGTTCTGTATGGGTGTACAGTAAAATCGCATAAAATTGTTACAAATCCTGTAACCGGCTCTGGTTGATCTTCATACAAGTTTCTTTCAGTTTCCATCCCGTAAAAGTTTCATTTTTTTTCCAGTGAAGATATTGACCAACTCTATTATGCCGATGTTTTAAATTCAATGGATGCTAACACTGTGCAACTTAATAGAAGATGGTCAATTGTTTCTAGATATTTATCACAGAATTTGCATTTCTAGTTAATAATAAGAAGAATAAGAATAATAATAAGAAGTTCTTAGGATTTTCAATTTCTTTGACCTTGTTATTATTGTCACTAGCAACGTCCACAATAATAATAATAATAATAATAATAATAATTATTATTAGTATTATTATTAGTATTATTATTATTAGTAGTAGTAGTATTATTAGTATTATTATTAGTATTAATATTATTATTAGTAGTAGTATTATTATTAGTATTATTATTAGTACTGTAATTCTTCCTTTGAAAATGATTTTTTTTATAAAACTGTTTTCCACATTTTATTTATTTTATGTTTCACTTCCTTTATATAAAATACGTTGTTTCGTTTTTATCTTGAATATTATAATTTATTGCCGTATGTTCAGATGTACTGCGAGATTGCTTTTTATATACAGTGATTACTTCTTCTATCGTTACAGTAATTTTGTAATTATCTTAAAGTTTTGCTACCTTACTTTTAACATTACATTTTAAATACATTGAATACTCTTTTTAATATTCCATGCTGAAATGTAGTTTCATCTAAGATAGCCATATCTCTGTTATACCGACAAATACGGTACAAATAATTTCACTGAAAATTATTTTACGATACAAAACCATTGTTAATGGTTTCCCTACATAAATTTGTATCAAAATATTTTACTCTAGAAATGCATATACAACTTTAATACTGTATAACTGATAAGATTTATTTTAAAGAAACGCTAGAAAATAATTCAATGTAAACATTACCTTCCTTGAGCCCCTTTCTGATCTACTGGGATCATCTATTAAAATTTATCGTTTTTTTATATATTTTATTTAACAGATATAGTCTATGCAACTATAGCCATATATAGAAGCAGATACACAATAATATTTAGGTTTTTATAGAAATTGTTCGCAGTAAAATGCTACCGAGATGACAAAAGATTGTTTCAGAGAGGTTTCTTTATTTATGTTCCTTCGCTTTCCAAACATTACCTCTGTGGTTGAATTCAAAACCAAAAGTTCTACAAAGACGTTAGCTTCAGATTATGGATTCAGATATTTCTTTCTCCTCGCCTATTTGCGAACAACGGCTTCAGAACTCAGTCTTCAATGCTATTTAGCTCATAGCTAGGGATAGAAGAGACAGATTCATGCTTTTTTTCAAGGGTATTTGTGTGAAAGTGAATGTAATGAACTCGGTCAGAAATTGAACTCGGCTTGTCCATTTTATATTCCAAGAGGCTAACCATTACACTCCTATTCACTTTAAGGATTGCATTTACAAAAAGCAATATGTCAATCTCTGGCACGTGGGAAGAATTCAAATTTTGAATTTTTTTTATATTCAAATTTTCATTCTCGTATCGAGTTGATTTAATTATGGAATGCGTAAGCAAAACTAAAAAAATTGCTAATTACAGCCTTTTGATATTACCCCTAGTGTTATTTTCCGTAAGGATATTCTTCTTTCATGCGCCGTGCCCATTCGGGACGTGGGCGTTCTTTGTAGCTCTTAGCGGTGTTTCTTTTCCTCTAGCTACGAAAGCGATATAAACATAGGTGTTGTTAAAGCCTGGGCTGCTATCGATAAATTATCTCCCGTACAGAAATCTAACTTCCAGACAACTTGAAAAATTTCTCTTCTATGGCTTCTCAGCATGAACATTTACATCAACACTAGAAAGAATATTGGGCGGAACCTACACTTGCATGCTAAAAGTGGCTTTGAATGTCACTTAGAGAGATCGTCTGACCAATGACGAATTGTATGGAAACATATCAGGTATCATCAAAGAGGGTAGTGTCAGATTCGCACGACATTGCCGGGGAGCTAACGACGAAATTGTGAGTGAAGTTCTTTTTGTAGGAGGAAGAGCTATCAGAGAATGACATGCCACAACCTATATCCAGCAAATTTGTGAAGACATAAACTGCAACCCCGCTGACCTGCCGAATATGATGAATAATAGAAATGGATGATGTACAATAGAAGTGGAGACTCACGGAAATTCGTGTCAGCATTGCGACCGGTTGATAATGATTCATAATTCAAGAATCTTTTTTTCTTTAAATGCATAATACCCGAATATTCTCCAATGTCTATCACTTCCCATTGCTTAAAGTGTTTATCCCGATGGAGATATCTTTGTTGAACGCCGTTCCAGGATTTTTTGCCTATTGAAGTTGTGTGATTCAATGATTATTCATGGAGGATCATGGTTCTCCAGAACTTCCTGTACTTTGTAGATCGTAACAATGTTCCTCTTTTTCCTATCATTCCTGATCCCTGTTCTGCCAACAAGGCTCGTTAGGTAAGTTATTCGTTGTTTTCCTCTGCGTCTCTTGTCTTTAATATGTCACGCAAATGTTACATATTCCAAGCTCTCGTTCCTCATTATGAGCCATAGAAATTTTAATGGTCTCTTTCTGATTCTACTCATAAGTACTTAAATTATTTATATTTTCGGACTGTTATCCTCATCTTCATTGCCATATTCCCAATGCGATCCGGTTGGAATTTCGAATCGAAACCTTTATTTCGTCCTCAAGGACACTTGACCCAGTGGATAAAGACGTCGGGGAGATTCGGTGACTAGACCCTAAGAGTTGTAAGTTCAGTACCAGGCCACGGCAGTGTTGAACCAAAATTGGAAGAGGCATGGCATGTGAAACTAGAACAACCTACCTCAGTGGATGAAATAAAGGGTTCGAATCGAAATTCCCATCACCTGAAGAAAGCCGAAGCGTACAACGGCCGATATGTTGTGAATATGGTAATGAAGACGAGGATAGAATTTTGAATAATGTAAATAATGTAAGTAATCATAATACCTTACCTCAGAGACATAGACAGCTACTCATAAGTGTCCTTTTTGCTTCCATTTTCTCTAAGATTTCCTTGTCGCACGCTTGTTTACTCCATGGTATTTTCAGCATCCCTCTATAGAAACCCATTTCTGTTGCCTGAAGTCTCTTATCTGTGAGAAGACTGTCCAGCATTCACTGCTATATGAGGGCACTAATATTACATAACAGCCCAGTACCCTTTTCTTTGTTTCTCACGAAATTTGCCTGTTTCTTAATACTTTTGGAAGATATCTTTCGCTATTTCAATTCGCCTTCAGATTTCTATATCGTATTTCCCATCTTCTGTTTAAACACTTCCTAGAGCCCAGAAAATATAAGCATCTTCAGCCACCATTCGAAATCAGTCCCTTCATTTCGTTTTTCGTACCTATATCCGTTGTCCCATCCTATAAACACAACATAAATATTAAATACAAAAAATTCATTTTAAAAGATACTCAATTTATCTTATTGATCCTAATTACTGCATCACATCATATAAACAAAGTAGTGCTTTGAAGTAATGGTTAAAAAGCTAATCTAGCAGATATTAGCTACTGTGTAGTGAACTCGAAGAGCGACTCTTGGGAAAGGCATTAATCCAACTCTTCTCCCACCATCTACGGGTTAATTAGTAGGACCTCTATCAGTAAATCATCATTATCTCTCAAACATTCTTACAATCTAAAAATATTTTCTTGTTTTAAAATACCTGCAAAAGCTTGATAATTCGTAAAAGAAAAACAAAACGAATCAATCACCCAATTGTAGTCCGTGTAAGTCTCAACTTAAGCTTTGTAAAATTTCATAATCTATTCGTCTATATTTCTGAGATGAGTTATTATGTACACTATTTACATTTCTCAGACTATCATCCTCATCTTTGTTTCCATATTATTCACAACGTTTCTGTTGTTGTACGCTCGAGCCTTCTTCAGGTGGTTGCAATGTCAAACTGAAGCCTTTATTTCGACTGTTCTCGTTCCATGTGCCATGGATGTCAGTTATCAGTTATCTACTGTTAATTCTCCTCTCCAAGTTCTTTACCGCTTTAACCAGATTTAGGTCCTTTCACTGGATCTAACTAACACCTTTATCCCCTTGAGGACATCTGTATATGAATTCCTGGGTATTATAAAACTAATGTCTTCAGCAACCATTTTTTACCAGTGCTCATATTGCAATTTTTTCTGCTATCATTGCATTTTTTTTTACCATAGCTCATATTGCAATTTTCGTTTTTATTATTTCTTTTCTCTGGCACTCCTTATTGCTGGTTCCCATATTGTATTCATTTTTAAGCTCGGTCGGGTCAAGAGATTTTTGTGGCCTAGCATATGTGCTGATTCCTTAAGTTTACGAATTTTCCAATGATGTTCTATGTCTATGATTTCAACCTGATTCCCGTAGAGGGCGATGATTTCGCTTTTCTCTCCATTTGTGATCAGCCTGTAACATGAGGGGAAGTGGAAAAATCAGGTGGGGCTGATTTTAGTCCGAGCAATGTAAAAAGTGTTCATAATCTATATCTAAAACATTTAACTGTAACCTTAAACAGTTAAATTAATCTGTTTATCAATAAAGATAAAAAAATATAGTGGCGATCAAAAGAAATGCATACTGTGGTATTGACTTGAAAGTCTTATGGCTCTCCACAATTTTCTGTCCTTTGTAGCTCTTGACATTTTATTTTTTTCCATCGAACATTTGAACACCGAAGTTAAGCAACGTTGAGCTTGGTCAGTACCTAGATGAGAGCCCGCTTGGGAATACCAGATACTGGGTGTAAGCCATGGATGTTCGAGTTGTGTAATGGATAACGATTCGGAATTGGAAATAGGAGAGCCGTGTTCCAATTCCAGTCGGGCTCGTTATATTAACTTACGAGCAAATATCCTTCGAAAATCTGTAAATCCTTTTCTTTTCCCCCATGTATGGTTTAATTAGTAGAAATTGTACCAGTAAAAATCATTATTATCTCCAAAAAATTCTAGAAATATTTTCGGGCTTTAAATAACCTGAAAAAAGTTGATACGCCATAAAAATCAATCGATCAATCAATTACGCACACACAAACAAACATAGATAGATAGATATATTGTGCACACAAGTATCTACACTGCAGAGTGTCTATCAGTTTCTCGCGTCAATGCTTTCTTAAAACCAATTTAAGATCAATGGTCTTTGGGGTTGAAAAATGCTATTATATCTGACATAATTCCCGAAATTACTCCTCCAGAAAATGAATAAATTTTTTTTCTATAAAACTGTTTTAATCGCTTTGTGGAAAGCATTTTGCGTTTTCAGTTCACCAAACATTTTTGGTATTATCTTGCACATATACCAGGTGTAACAGCAAAATTGTCCAAATGGGATAATTCTCCATCCCACAAAATGTTTAATATCTAAAAAAAAAAAAAAAACACTAAACTAAAGGAGTTTCTTTTTTTCCAGGTTTTTACATAAGACGTTTAGCCATCTCGAAACCATTTGTCGTAAGAATCGCTGAAAAACCCTTTGAGTTATTCATGTAGAAAGAGAACAGGTTAAAAAATTGTTTTGTGTCTACCCCACTATGTCCAAATAGTGCAATCGTGAGAGGATCATTCAGACCTTCAGTAATAGTACTAACATTTATACTACAGTTTCCATCTTCAAAGTCCATTCAAGAACCATCAATAGTGAATAAGTTTTTAAAAAAGAGGGAACAGTCGTGAGGAAACTGGTCAGGAGGTCACAGCAACAAAAGGGATCATCATTTCAACTTAGCGTTTAATACATTCTTATTGTTAAAACTAATAATTTTATAAAAACCTCTGAGAATTCTAGTACATTATATTTAATCATTTCTAAGATAAAACGGTTCAGTGCTTAATTTAACAATTGGACAATTTTTGCTGTTACACGATTTTAACAATTTTGTTGTTTTACTCGATATATATATATATATATATATATATATATATATATATATATATATATATATATATATATATAACAGGTGTAACGAAATAATGTAACCACTAGGTTTTATATGCACACAACTTCGTGTCAGGACCCATATTGATATTTGATTTTTTTGGTGAGTTTCAATTTAGCGTATGTCACATTCGATTGGTAAATCACGTCAAAGCCTATTTTTATTCTGTTTTTTTTTTTTTTCCTCGAAAAAAATGAGGAAGTATTCTGCTTTTTGAAATTAAAATAATCACACCCTCGCCAGAAGTTTAACATCACCAGAGGAGACAAATTTGTAGTGTCGAAACATAATTGTAATTGTCTAACGATTTTTACCATTCTTTTTTAAATATCCTAAAATAAATAAATAAATAAATAAATAAATAAATAGTATATATATATATTATAAATTAATTGATTTAAAATATGTTTTTTTTTGCTACACAGTTCTAACCATGTTTCAAAAATGGAAGCTAAAAGCCCCGAATTTAATTTTGTAATTAAATTAAAGACATTAGTTCCATTTCATCCTCAAGCGAATTTTGGAGAAACTTTTAAAATTACTGGGTTTTAAAGACACAGCTAAAATCATAATTCTCGTTTCCAACGTTACAGATGAATCTACTTCACTAGAAAGGGGTGTTTGCTTGTTCATTATCGCTGTATTTTGATGTATCAGTTATTAGCTACGTTTTGGTAGGGGTAGGGATGTATTTTTCAATGAAATCTAACATCCGTTAAATGCATGT